ACCCCTACCAAGGATACTCGCTCACCAATGTGGACATGTCCAGCTTCCAGGGCGTCGACTGGGGATCTATGTACGGGATGGGCATGTACGTCTAGACGACCTCGAGTTGCTTCTTCGCTCGCCTCCTTACTTCACTCCGCCGAACGTCCAAGCGTTATCGTAACACGCTACGACGCCGCGGACCACTCTCTGTGACTTTTCTTATCTTCCGTGAGAGAGAGAGAGAGCACCACGCTACTTTCTACTCTCTTCCACAATGGTCAACTTCCGCCTTCCTCTTTCACGAGGTTACGCGGGGTTACGGCTCTGTCGTACTTTTCATTCTTTTTCCCTCTTCCTCTTCCTCTTCCCCGTGGATTCTTTGTGAAACGAACGCGCATTTGGTTTCACCGCTTCTGCGAGCGCGTCTTCCCGGATCTAACCTCCCTTGGTCTTCTACGTAAGTGCTCACCGGCCATTCTTTTCCGTAATATCGCGCCAACATCCCGAGGACACCGTTGTCAAACAGAGAGTGAAAAGGGAACGAGAAGAGAGCGTGCACGGAAGCGAACTTGGAAACGTCACAGGCGGAGGACTTTCCTGGCCGGAAACCGAAGTCACATTCTTCTTGCGTTTACTTACTTACTTAATTACTTACTTACATACTTACTTAATTACTTCATTACTTACTTACTTACTTACTTACTTACTTACTCACTTACTTAGTACTCGTCATTAATCGCTTGTCAATTAATTTATTAGCGAGAGAGAGAGAGAGAGAGAGAGAGAGAGAGAGTGAGAGAGAGAGAGTGAGAGTGAGAGTGAGTGAGTGAGAGTGAATATGCGTGCGTGGGAGAGTTATTCGGTCGTATATCGTATAGTTTGAGTGCGATACCCCTTGTTCAACCTTCGTTCCCGAATATTCTTTTTGTGTCCACGCGTTTTCGTTCCTAGTTAGATTAACGACGCGATCCCCGACACTATACGCGCGACGTTGATCGCGGTGTTCTTCGGCTATCAGCCGCGCCCAACCGTACGATAATTAATTATTTAATTAATTAAGTGGTATAAGCGGTCGCGAACGACCGCCCTACTCTCAAGGATCTCGACCAAGAAGCAATAAAACAGGGGAGGTAGAATGAGAAAGAAGAGGGGGGTGGGATGGCGGGAGGGAGGGTGAGAGAGAGAGAGAGAGAGAGAGAGAGAGAGAGAGGGAGAGAGAACGTTGGACGTTGTGCCGTGAACGAGCTCGCGAACCCCGATCCTTAAGAATGCCTTTCGCTTCATTTCATTTACTTACTGCGCCGTTGCATTTCTTCCTCTTCCATTCTGTACTTATGGAAGATTAATCTGAAGCTAATTGTTTTTCGCGAGCCGGAACGAAAGCACGCGGGTAAAAAAAGAAGACGAAAACGCGTTTGCGAGTGACATATAACTGTTACTTCCATTCTAGAGAACGAGGCAGTTCTCCTGTAAGTCCCGCGACACCACTCCTCCGCCTCGGTCAAAGTGCCAAACGAAGCCCTTGGAAAACGTTCGAGCGATCTATCTATCTATTTGTTGTCAGCCTCCATCGCGATCACATTTTTCTTTACACAGATCGTTAACGCGTGTCCCGCGTGCTTTCGCTCGGCCAGGCGGCTGTTCGCGCTCGATAGCACGGTCACACATACACATACAAAACACACACACACACACACAATTAAAGACACGGAAATACGTACTTAGGCAGGAAAGAAGACGTGAGTACGAGTAGACACCGGCATGCAGGACACGTAACACGTACAAGGAACGCGTCTAAATAGGATAGCGCATAGGTATACATATATTTTTCTTCGAGTAATGGAAGACAATATTTCTCCATCGCGCGAATGGCACGAGCAACACGTGATTCGAGCGCGAAAGGGAGACGCGTGTTTTGTGGGATACTCGTTTGTAGGTATACTAGAAGCCGTGGAATCATCACGGTAACAGGAACCCAAGATTGAGATTAGCTCAGCGTTAAATTAAGAGATCCTAGTTAGTAAGTTTCAAACAGTTTAAGATTAGACTTTTAAGGCGTTCGTAAAAAGAAAAAAAAAAGAAAAATGAGTCGATACTTAATTTATACGTATCCGAACGTGTCGCGTTCCTCTCGTTATTGACTATCGATCGATCGAAGCGGCTGCCTCCGCGGATCGATCTTTCGCCGCTTCCAGCCCCTTGGAAGTATCGCGTCTCTGCGATCAATGCTTTGCGTTCCAATTCGTTTCTTTTGTTTCGCAAAAACTGCTTGCGAAGCCTTTTCCTTTTTTCTTTTGTCGTTTTTTTAGTTCTTTCCCTTTCTGTTTTGTTTTCTCCTCTTCAGTGAAAACGCGTTGAGTGGACCTCGACTATAGAGGAATGCAAAGAATTGCGCATGTATTTATTTATCGAAGGATTAATCAAGCGATCGACGAGCATACTGAACTCCGGAGGGGCGAAAGATCGACAAATGATGTCGGTTGCATGCATCCAGACGCCGCGATTCGCCGGAAGGCATGACAGAGGGAGAGAGGAAATCGTCGAAGACGAGAAGAACGCGCGCACGTGAAACAAATGTGAGAAATTTCGAGCAATAAGCGATTCACTGATGAAACTTTAAGCTGTGTACCGTTTAAGTTATATCGATACGATAAGACGCGAGAAACAAGAAAGAGAGAAATGTAAAGGAAAAGAAAAAAGAGAAAAAAAAGACACGATGATAGCCTGTACGCGTTAAAGGGATACTTAAACGAGAGAGTAAGAGACTCGTGGCTCCAGCGAGCAACACGGGAGGCATGTTCGAGGAAGATTTCCTCTTCCAAACGACAAGTAATATTCTTTAGTGATATACACCTTTAAAAAAAAAACATACACTTAATATGTACCGTAATGTTAACGACGACAAAGCTCGCGAGTGATATTTATGACTTATAAGAAGATATTTAGATAAATAAGCAAACAAAAAAGAGAGCGAGAGAGAGGGAGAGGAAGAGAGGGAGAGAGAGAGATCGAACGAGCGTGTGTGCGCAAGCGAGACTGTGAGAAAACGAAGCACGCCTTAAAAGAAGAAAATGAGAAAAAGAATCGCCAAACAAGCACGCGCGCGCGCATTCTAGCGAGTAGCAAACAAGAGGCGATGATTCGACTAGATAGAGACACATGGTGCAACCGAATTCTATTTTCCACGGTCTGCGCATTCGGTGCGCAGTTTCGAGATAGAACATGGGTGCGTACTTAAAGCTGACCTCGAGGACACCCGATATCGATGTACATTTAACCCTGAAGCAGTAACCTTATTCCTTAACGTTTCTGTCTTTTTTCATCTCCTTCCCATTCTTCCTCTACCATCTGCGTCCTTTCTCTCTTTCTACTTTAGGGAAATTTTCACCTTTAAACTCGTGAAAATAAGCAGAAGGAGAGCAGGGACGCGAACGGTACTCGGAGACCGAATGGTTCACCTAACGTCGTCGGTTCTTTTGTGATTTCGCAATAAAGAACGACGATCTGGGCTTTTCTTCGAAAAAAGAAAAAGATGATTTGTCGCTTTATGCGAGGACGAAAGAACGCGTCGCGATTCTACATAACCAGTTCCTCCCCGATAATCCCCGTCAACCCTTTTCACACACCTGCCGGTGATTATGTATTTTATACGCTACACGCTCATACATATATATACACACAGAGACACCTATTGCGAATGTCGAGTAATATTCTTAGCGTAGTTAGTATTTTGATGATCGCTAACCACCCATTAGTTGAGAATGATCAGTAGGTGAAGCATGCTGGTTAAAATATATTTAGATCCGGATCCCGTTGTTCCTTCACCGCCCTCGTCGTTTCTCTGTAAAATTCTTTTTACAAGAACAACTGCTCTGTTTTCTTACCGACGCGACGTTTCATTCGCGGCTGCATCGCGACGAAAGGAAGACTCGATCGGATTTCCCCTACCCTGCTCCTTCATTTTCTTTCTGTTTTCGATCGTATCTTATTTCCTGTTTCAATTGTCGCGCGCGACGCATTTTACTCAAAAGAAGTGATCAATCGTAACACTGCCTACTAAATTGTAAAATTTTGTACGTCAACCGATTCTGGTGACATTTTACCCTTTTACACATTTAGTTATTTTCCTCTTTCGTTCCAACGAGAGAGGATTTTTCAAAGAATCAATCGATTCGAACCCGGCTCAAGATAGACACCCCTTCCTGTAGATTGATCGTTTTCACAATAATCTTGCGACTTTTTTTCCCGTAAGAACACCAACTTCCCTCGTTGGTATCGCCTGTCCGCGTGTCGGATCGTTTCTCGAAAAGATAAAGAGGAGGAAAAATTCTTGTGTCGGCTTTCCGATAAGCCGTTCCGCCGCTTTTCTCTCGGACCAACGACCAAAGCGGCCAACGGAGTCAGAAAGAGGGACTGGATGAAAAGAGACGAAGACAGAAAATAATGCATCCTCGTCCAGACGTATTCCAGATCCTCTATCGAGTCCACCCACACTCCTATTTACGCGAATCCGATATTCCGTGCCTCATATTACCCTTACTATTACTTACTGTCCTCGTCATTATTACTACTACTACTACTACTACTACTACTACTACTACTGCTACTGTTATTATTATTATTGTTGTTCACAATCATTATTATTATTATCACCATTATCTAGTATTGCTATTATTACCGTTTATTATCGTTTATTATTATTATCGTTTACCCTGGTTGATTTTTTTTACCCGGACGGTATCGTTATCCCTGCAAACACGATGACAAGTCATGAATATTGTTGCGTATCGTCATTGTTGCTGTTCACATCGTTGCTTTCTTTCATCAGTGTGCGACCATCGATGTAGTTCTTCAAGAATTCTCAGTTTGACCAAAAATTCATCGACGATCGCGATATGAATAGGACGAGCGTGCGCGCGTTCGAGATTCTCGTTGCCAATTTTCGTCTCCGTTCCTTCTCCCTCTATTTCATGTGTTACATTTTGGTTCGTGTTCTGTTCAATTCCTTTTTTTTTTTTTTTTGTTCCACCGTTTTGTCGTGCCATACTCGCGAAGCGACCGTGCAACGAGACGCGAGCGTACAGCCTATTCACTTCTATCAAGGACAAAGCTG